TGGACTACTGAACTATTTAAAATCGTAAAAGTTCGTATTACGAAACCTACTACATACATCTTGGAAGATTTGCATGGTACTCCGATCAAAAGTGCTTTTTATCCTGAAGAATTGCAAAAAACTATAAATCCTGACATCTATCTAGTGGAAAAAGTTTTAAGAAAAAAAGGCAAAAAGGTGTTTGTCAAATGGTTGGGATTCGATGATACACACAATAGTTGGATTGATTCCAACAATAAATTATAATGCAAACATATGGAAAAGAAGCACACATTCAATGGCTATGAGAGGGCCTTTCATCGATCACTAACAAATAACCTGTTATTCCAATCTGCCGGATGTTATGATCAGTCAACAGTTATGGTATAAATAAGGAGGACTGAAACTTTCAACACATCAGTTCGAGAACAATGAGTGAAGACTCTGGTTATTCATCTAGTGAAGTGTTTTTCGAAGACGGTAGTTCTAGATCATCATCATCAATGATGGGTTATTATGGTGATGTCAATACATATTTGGACATGATTGAACAAGCAGCGAAAGCCGAATCACACCACCTGCTGAATACATCGTTCCAGTTGTCCACTTACACAATCCAGTGTGGACTCAGTCCAGCTAGACAATTTAGTCCGGCCATCATTCTGAAAAAGCCCTTCTACCCAGCGAAAATTTCATTCAGTACTTACGAATGGGCCACCTTCATCGATTTGCTGCATAAGGCACAACAAGACTTTTTTGAACAACCCCTACCTGGTTTTATTGATGAATATGAGCCGATCATTACTGCTTGTGGAGACTATGCTACCGTAGCCAAACATGTCTGCGATGGTGTCAAAATGTTGACCCTCTCCAAATACCACGTCATATTCGATCTGATGGAGGAAGATGTTGCAGACATTTTGAGTGCTGAAATGTGCATTGTTTCACATCGAGTTAATTTAATCAATGACTTGGACTTTTTTATGTTTTATCAGAATATTATGAATGTAATAGCTGAATGGATAAAAAATAAACTGACTGTTTTGAGTGCACAAGAGCTTATATTAGGGTTTTGTGATGTTTGCGATAGCATGTCTAGTAACGCTCTCAGAGAATATCTATATTACTGTAAAAATGATTTGATGGCTGATTTGAATAAAAACCTTTGAAATATGTGACTCGTTTTTTATTTATTTCATCAGTCTACAACTTGACGCGAAACTAGTAGCATCTGAAATATTTTAGCTCTGCTCGAAAAATCATGAAGTCTGAAATAGCTGTGCTATTGGAGTTTATAAAATCTCCCGCTTTGACTCTGACGAAATTCACTGAACAAGAATTGCAGTACATTCCAGTAGAATGTCTCATTGAATATGCAGATCCTTATGGGCTATTAAGGGTGTGGCACAAACTTCCTCAAGAATATCGCAGCAACTTTAACCTACAAATCAAACTGCCATGCTTCGTTCATTATAATCGTCCCGATTGGACCACACACTGGGATGGACCGCCATCTTCTCAAGAGGCATGTCATTTTTGTAGAAAAGGATTACTTAAATAAATAGATTATTTATCTTCGTTTTCGTATTCTTTCACCCCCATGGGCTGCCCTGTATATATTTTTTTTTTCAATCTTCATCAACTCAAACACCCTGTATATATTTCTTTCAACTCAAACACTCCTTCCATGCTAAAACATGGGACCGCGAACCGTGGGACACTCTGTATATTTTTTTTTTCAATTTTCAATCAACTCAAACGCCCTGTATATGAAAATTCAATCTTGTTATTGTCATTAAAGTGTTATTGTTGCGGTTTCGATAAGCTCGCGCCAGAGCTACCCCGCTTCCCTGCTAGAACACAGGCCGCGTTCCAGTTAAGATTAAAGCGTGTATTTCCCTATGCTGATAGTCATGGTCTCTTAGTTTAACGCGACTTTGCATATAGGTATATTGGCATTTCCGAGAATTGTCCATAAAAAATCCTATTTTTGAGAGAGTACCCACACACGTGATGTCATTTTACCAGAAGAAAAAACAACAGCATGACGCGTCACCCACTATAAAAATAAATAATTAATTATTCAAGTATTTGTTTCCAATACGAGCGCGCGCGCGCTTATCATTCTAAGGGATCTCTCGCTTTGCTAGATCTTCGAACGCCATGAAGCGAGACAGCGTTGCCACACACAATAATGTAACAATATTAACATCCAAACACATACGTCCGACAACGTTGCAGCGCCGAGCGCTCGAGCCGCCTTACTCTCTACCTCGATAGATCCGTTGCAAAGATAAGCGCGCGCGCGCCAGCGATGGATATTATTTTCGACTCGAAGTTTCTTATCTCTGGAATGCATCTCTCGCTTCACTCTACCTCGATGGATCCGTTGCAAAGATAAGCGCGCGCCAGCAATGGATATCCCGTTTGAATAGCATTTAAATAATTGAAATATCACGGAGGTCGGAATACCGCAGTGCGTATATACGCTGCCCCATAATGCAAAGGTCCCTGGTTCAATTTCCCCCACCGGCGGTGACAGCTTTTTTTAATTTATTTATTTAAAAATTCATCATGATTAAGATGTCATAACCTCACAATTTCAAATTTACCGCCATCAGCGCCGCCGCCATCTGCAAATTTGAACTTCGCGCCACCAGCGACACCAGCGACACCAGCGCCAACGCTAACTAGCGGCATTTTATTGAGGCTCTGGCGATCAATCAGCTTTGTATTACTACTGACACATCTGAATATGCTCCAGATAATAAATATAATATGCCACTAGTCGATAAAAAAAAAAGTTGGATTTATTAAAAGATGAAGCGAATGGGAAAATCGTAACTAATTTTGTGGGACTACGTTCGGAAATGTATGCATATAAAGTACAAGGGGGTGAGGTTGTCAAAAAATCGAAAGGGGTGAAAACTAATGTTGTCAAGAATAAAATTGGGTTCGAAGATTATTTGAATTGTTTGGAGAATTTCAGAGAACAAACAGTGTCTCAACGTACTATCCGTTCATATGCCCACAATGTGTTTAGCATTCAACAATCAGAAATTGCTCTGAGTCCCAAAGATGATGAACGGTATTTGATTCCAGGTTCGTTTGATACATTGCCATGGGGTCATACACAGGCAAAAGAGTAATTATTTCATGTAAATCAACTCATCAAACATTTATAAAGAAAAAAAACTCATACACCTACACTTACACTCCTCTGTTTTAGATTTAGAATTATTATTTGGGCTTTAAGAACGATATGAATGTGATATGGATTTACATGATTCACATTATCATAATGAGAGATTCATCGATTCTGGTGATGAACATACAGATATTGATTCTTGACTTACTTCAACAATATTTTACAAATGTAGTTTGCGGAAGAAGACAATGAAAAATGACTTTTTTTCAGAATATGTTTTCTCTTATGAAAATGTAATACTTGTCCTGGCTATTGATGTGAATATAATATATGCTGCCTATCTATCATTATTAAAATAATTATTGAAATTTTCTGTGTATCATTGGGATGGGTAGTGAGTGTAAGAAAGAGTGAGAGGGTAAAAAAGTGAGAAGAAGAGGGAGACAGGAAGAGAGAGAGAGAGAAAGAGAGAGAGAGAGAGAGAGAGAGAAAGAGAGAAAGAAAGAGAGAGAAAGAGAGAGATAGAGATTGGATGGATATTAGTTGAAAGTATGGTTGTAAAAAACAGTTGTATCATGTCTTCTGACGAATACAGACGTGCACTAAAAGAATTTGGGTTGAAAGTTAGAAAGCTCAGTGCAGACATCCAATTGTATGAGCAGAAAGTTTGTTTGTTCAAAGATTTCGAGCAATTGAGTATTTGGGACAAGGTGTTCACAGAACCAAGACGTTCAGTTGCAACGTTTCCTACATCGAGAAGAATCCAACCAACACAGCTAGATGGCGTTACTGAAAGCAAGCTTCATTCTATTGACAGCTCTGAGCAACAACGTCTTCTACACAAACATACCATATGATACGAGGAATGCAGCCATATGTTTTGATATGAATCGAACACAACAATGTGATTGGAAGATGATGAAAAGAATGCATGTCAATGATAACAAATTACCTGTATATTTAATCGACATGCCTCGAGTCAATGGGACCACCATCGACTACAAATTGAAATTATCGTTTTCTGATGGCAGTGACGGCGAAACTGGGGACTGGCAAAATTAGATGACGATCAAGATTCTGTCAATATCATTGCAATTTTGACACTTTGTTGTATACTAATATGTTCACTCATTTTAATCTCACATGTTATTTTCATTATACTGAGAAATAAGGGATGTGATGAATAAAAACTCTGAAATTACGATATATAGTTTTTTATTTAGGTATTTAATTACATAGCCAATCATATAAAGTATGACATTGTAAAGACAGCACTGGAACCTTCCTCCGCGGGAATGATTCATGCAAGGTGGAATGGATTGTTGGAACGTTATTGGTTGCCACCAAGAATTGTCAAAATCTTCCAAATTCTTAATGTGATTGGTCATCTCCAACTCTGCACATTTTCGCTGCAAGAACTGAATCTTTTGGTGTCCTCTAACGTAGATGATATTTGTTTGCTGCAGGTTGTCTTGTAGTATTCCATCGAACTCATTTAAATCCACATAACCACTGGAATATCTCAAACCATGCATATAGCGTTCCAGGTGATTTGCCATCTTTTTATCTTCTCTGCTTAAACTCGAAAATTCTACAGATGGCTTGAATAGAAAATGACTCGACTTTTTGCCAATGCGAATGGTCATTTCCTTCGGACTGAATTCACCATCAACCGTGAACCCTTGAATGTCAACCAGTGCGATCTCCATGGCTCTTCGAAGCAAACTGAGGTCTGACTGATGCAGCAACACCTGACTAGACAATATTTCGAACAATTTCGCTGAGTGGGAGATGTTCCATGATTTGATCGTGAATGATGATGAAATAGGCTTTGGTGTCGGGAGGGAAGCCTGTAGTCGCTTCAATGTCCAACTTTATGTCAACTGTAGACGACTTTAGACCCAGATAGCGGCCCGAGCAATCGATAACAAACATTGGTCGGGATTTGAATTCGGCAAAGTTTACTAGAGAGCGCTTTTCTTGACAGTTATGGTAGCACTTGTTGAACTCTGTATAGTTGAAGTGAGCGTCAGCATATTGGTCTTTGGAAAAGTCCAATAGCATTCTTTCTTGCGGATAATAGTCGCTATTCAGAGCCAATCGTATGGATTTGATGTTGGCATTATCTAACAAGGTGACGTCTTCATGCAAATTATCGGCTTTTTTCGTTTGGAAAAATACTATAACATATCTTGGACTGTCCAATGCAGAACATGTCTTTACGGACCAGATTTCTATGGTAGATCCTTGTGTGAGTGCTGGTAGCTCGTGCAATTCCCATCGGCGAAACGGTATCATCATAGACTCATCTGCTTTGATACGTGTCAACAACTGCAACTTCATGTCATCGTTGGGTGTGAGATGTGGCACTTTCAAATTGATGCTCTCTATCGTTATTTTAGCAATTCTTTGAGTCCGAGGAGATCCTTGCAAAGCAGTATTCGCTCTCTTGACAACCTTCACACTATTGGCATCATTGCGAGCTCTCACTTAACGGATTGACTGCTTGCCCCACGTTGCCACTTGATGATCATTGAAGATGGAAAACAAATGTCTCAGTGGAATGTTCATGCTAAACGTACCATCGGTGTTAAGGATCGGAGCATTGGGATAGTTCCAGCCTGCTATGGCTAGATGACGTGAGTCTTCAGGTGTATAACACAAGTATCCTCGCACAGTACTCGTTATTCCAGGATATCTGACAGTGTCCAATTCTTTATTACATAATTCACAGGTGCAGGAATCAAAAAGATAAGCTCCAGCATTGTGGGTTAATGTACCAGTACCACCACCGGTCACCTTCAATTTACCCTTGATGGTAATGATACCTTCAAACATGGCCAACCACGAATCTGCTTGATTAACCGTTATATCGATGACATCATTGTTCTCGAATGATTTCACATATGGATAATAGGTACGACATTCCACTTTAGTGATGCTTTCGTCGAGTCTGGGTTTGCGGAAAACGTCGAACACGGGTGCTGACAACATTGTAGTCTTTGAGTGATTTCAGAAACAAGACACTGAATAATGTCAATGTTTTTCTGTTGCTGCTGCTGCTCTTCGAAGACACGACTGCTTTGGTGTACGGTGTCGAGAGAACTGGTGCTGATGATGTTGCTGATGATGGTATATTATCTGATTCATAGAAGTAATCAAACACTAGTACCATCTTGCGAGTTTCTTCAATTCCAATCTTATGATGATTTCTTTACCTCTAAAATTCACCTGCCTGAAATCTTGGTCTAGAATCTGGAGTGTAATGTTGGGCAATTCCCGCCTGCTGACTATAGGTAGATAGATTAGATTTCTGGGAGTCTCGTCTATGGCGTAACCAGGATCGACTGCAACTGCAAACTCGTAGATCGTATGTGATGGTCTGTCGTTGTAGAGAGCTCCAGCAGTAACGTTGCTATCAATGTGAATGGTTCTCACTTTGGTTATGCTGACCGGCAAATCGGAAGTGTGGACTTGTTGTGCGTTCAACAATCTATTTGAAAATCCCAAGACTTGAGCTATGCAATCCTTTGGACGAAAATCGATGGCAAACCTTTCACTCGAAATCTCACACTTTAGTGTATTATTGTTGGGCTTCAACGAGAATATATCATCAACGTCCTTTGCACTTGAGATGCCCAATTCTTTGCGTATGAATGTCTCAATGTCCACAATGTCGTATGAACCTTCGGGAATATCGATGATCTTTCCCGCCTTGGTCTTATCTTGCAGATAAAACGTTGATCCTTTGTCGATATTTGGTATACTGTTGTATGAATGAAATCCCAATAATGCTAGTCCGTAATCAGAGTCTGGATCGAGTTGAAGTGGTGTCAAAAAGTCTATGGAGAGCGTAGATGTACGACCTTTCAACGTCACAATCAGAGACATGACTGATGCACAATGACCGAGTTACTTGGTTTCGTTGAAGAGGAATTCTAGACATAGACGTCCACAATTACTTTGATTGAAGTTTTGGTATTGATTGTTATTGTACAAGATTTTCGTGCTGGCACCCAAATATTGCGCCAATTCTCTGGGCGGTTCCAGATTACCATAACTATCAGGATATAAGGCTTTTTCATCATTTCTAATGTAAGCCACCCAATGAGTGCCCGCATGATTGGAGGTATCCAAATTCAATACAGCACACTCGCGATGCCATGGGCCGGTGGGAGGTAGAGTGTTTCGCATAAAATCACCTCGAAAATACGGTATTTTCAGCTGTTCGGCATGATTCATCACATCTTCATCATACATTGATTTATTGGGTAGCTTGTCTAGAAGTTTTTTGAGTTTTTTGATTGTTGAATATGCCGGAACCTTGTTTTCCGATAGCCTTCATTGCTTTATTATGTCTTTGATCTTCTTCGAGCTTTTTCTTTGCATTTTCCGCATCAATGACTGTCTTCGCGACTGCTCCGGCTCTCACAGCTAGAGATCCTAGGGCTCCCAAGGCGGCAAAGATTGGTATCAATGGTAGTATACCGCCACTGTGTGGAAGAGGTCCGATTCTTGGTACTCTGAATCTTTTTTTACCGCCAGCCCTCTTGACTGCCATTCTGGCTGCATGGAGTGCTTTGAATGCAGATTTATTCAGACCACTTCCTGATGTTGTACTACCACCACCACCACCATTTGACTTCGATAGTACATTTTTTATGAATTTGATAATGTTGGATAGGGATTGCTGTGATACAAGACTCATGCCAATTTTTCGTTTGACCTTCATTCCGGTGGTGACAAGCCAAGCAGCAGCCTCCTCTTTGAATTTAGCGTTCTTCGACTTGACTCTCTCCCACGCTCTATTTTCCAATATCCAATCAGCTTTGTGCTTGTCTTCTATTGAGGAATTTTGTGAATAGGCGATATCGTGTACTTGACACGCGTCTTTCAACGGATTGATACCGGTGTCCCCTCTTGCAAGTCTTTTATCGAGTTTGGTACCTGGACCACAAAATCTGTAGCCTGAAATGTGTAATTCGATGGGAAGTTAATCGATCAGAGAATTAAGCACACCCTCTCCGTGGTAGAGCAACATGAAGACTCACGTGTAGGAAGTTCGACAACTCTGCATATACCTAATGAAATGAAAAATATATCATCACATGATGAAGATCATTCAACAAGAACGGATGTTACCCATTGTGAATTTGGATGAAATTTTGTCAACCAAACCACCAGTAAATAGTAAACATGGGAAACTGCTTCCCCATTCGTTCAGAGCAATCTTCTGCGGACCAAGCGGATGTGGAAAGATCAATGCAATGCTTCTCCTGCTGTTCAATCCAAATGGCGCGAAATTCAAGAACGTTTACGTGTATTCAAAGTCGTTGTATCAACCGAAATATCAATTGCTGCAACAAGTGTTGGATTCAGTGAAAGGTGTTGGGTATTTTCCCTTTAAAGAAAATGATGATGTCATTATTTTATCAGAAGCGAAAAATCATTCGATATTCATTTTTGATGATGTATCATGCGACAAGCAGCAAAAAATTCGAGAATATTCTTCAATGTGTAGACACAAGGATATTGACGTAGCATACCCATGCCAGACTTTTTCTAAGATACCGAAGCAGCTGGTGCGAGACAACAGTAACCTGTTGGTGTTATTTCGACAGGATGAAATGAATTTGAAGCATGTGTTGGACGAGCATGTCTCACCAGACATGTCATTCGATCAATTTAAAGCATTGTGCTCAGAGTGTTGGAATTCCAACCAATGTGGTGCGATGGTGATTGCAAAAACTTTCGATATGAATGCTGGCAGATATAGAAATGGTTTCGATAAGTTCATAAGACTGTGATCTCTGGACCATTCATCAAGATGACGTCAACCAAGATGCATGATGATGTTGCTGATGCGCTGCGCAAAAAAAATCAACGAACTATCGAAATCAATCAGAAGAAAATATTTAGCACTAAAATTGGGCAAGTCTGAGGATGATGATGCGTTACACAAAATATTCCAACCACTGACATCACCTTTGAAACAAATTGCCACCACGTCCGAGGTAATGAAAGAAAAACTTGATGAAACGCTTTCAAACATCAAGCGAAGCAGAGCAAAATCCTTAGGGGTTGAAGAAGGAGAAGAAGGAGGAGGAGGATGATGATGGGAATAGGGATGGGGAGCAATCAAATTTGAATCAAACTAATTTCATACCTATGATGGATGTGGCTGATAATGCTGGGCATACTGAAGATAATGATGAGGATGGTTATGACGATGCTGATGATGAACTCTTTGCAGATAGTGAAAATATCTCACCGGCTGCAATACATGATTACGTTGATCAGTATCCTGCGATGGCTCAAAAATATCTGACTGAATACTGGACAAATGATAAAAATATCGATACGGTTTATGGCCACAAATATGATCCAGTAACATCGAAATGGTCCCTTAACGAAAAAGAAATGAATTTCCATCGAAGAACTGGAGATATACTTCTTCATGGCTTTCGGTTCCGTGGCACCACAGGCCTCTATCAATTACTCTTCTATAATGATCCATCCTTTGCCAAAGATGATACGAACCCATACAAGCAAATACTCTTGCTCACCAAAGCTCATCTGAATTCTGCAGGACGTATGAAGTCCTCCTCTAGACTCAAATACGTAGAAATTATTCGTCCAATGTTCAGATCCAATTCCAGTGGTCGTGGTTTGAAGTTGACATACAACACAGCACCTATCGAATACATGTATTGGGATGATCCAAACGAATTGGTAGATAGATTGAAGTTGCTCATTGCATCACAGCAAGCCGGAAATACATCAAACGATAACGAGATTGTTGCCATCTTGAACGAATTAGAAGAGGCAGGCATAATAAAACATGTGTGACATTTCTGTGATACTTCCGTGACACTTCCATGACAACTTCCGTGACAGTTCCGTGACACTTCCTTGACACTTCCGTGACAGTTCCGTGACAGTTCCGTGACACTTCCTTGACACTTCCGTGACAGTTCCGTGACACGTCCATGGCATGTCTATGAGTGACGGGGCTAATTGGCGAGGCAAAGTGCCGACCATTATCGATAACGTACAATATTTTAGTTATTAGCATAATGAGTCTCGACAAATTCGGACGTGGTTCGTTTCCACGCTCAGCTCAGATGGTGACAATCAGATCTGGATTTTCACATACTCCAACCGGTGATATTGATGTTGGTCATTTGAAGATGTGTAACGTAAAACTGCCAACAGATGTCGCTGATGTTGCAAACAAACAATATGTGGATGAAGTTATATCGCGAATAAAGTTAGATTTCAAGATTGCTTTCGATGATTACGGTGAAAAAATCCGAAATTACCTTGCTGGCTTCAGCAACGAA